TTGATCAGCTGACCTGAATCGGACTTCCTGCTGAGATCTGGAGACATGAACCTGAACTGATGTTTCCGATGTTTCTCTCAATGTTCGTAAAATGATTTCAGATTTAATTTTCTAAATATGTCCCAGCAAATATGGACCAAAGCTAGGGCCCGAATGATTTATCGGCGAGCTGATTAAATCGCCAATTTTAGCCCGTTTGAGACTGTAATCGGCCAAAACTCGCCAATTTTTGACGATATTTTCAGGAATAAAATGCGGAGAATAAGATTCGGTTTCACTTCGAAAATGTTCGGCCATTTGAAAAGTTCCCCGACTTATCCTGTAGATGGCGCTCCAGCGACCTCATGCCGATCTTCACCCACTAACTACCTCGCAGCAGAGTGACGGATCTGAGGCAGGAGGAGAGTGGAAATAAACCAGTCTGTGAGTCAACAAGTTTCAGTTCAACCCACTTCACCATGTTCCCCGCTGGGCTGGTCCACGGTACGGGGAGGTGATGGAGGAGGAGATTAGTTTGAAGTAAATCATGAAGAAGGAACAGTACCACTCCATCCTCCAGCACCATGCTGCTCCATCTGGACTCAGACTTGTGGCTCATCAGTTTGTTTTGCAGTAAGACGATGACCCTAAGCTCTCTGCCGAGCTCTGTCAGGGTTACCGAGACAAAAGAGAAGAGGAAGGTGTTCTTCAAAAGATGGTTTGGACCCCTCAGTCTCCAGACCTTTCTCCAACTGAGCTTGTGTGGATGAATTGGATCGATCGGTCAGAGAAACTCGTCCCTCGAATCAGCGTCTCTTTTTAATGAACTTAAGAAAGCTTGAATGTAATCCCTGGAACAGACCTTAGAAAACTTGGTGAACGAATGCCTGGTATATGCCGAGCTGTTGTTAAAGCCAGAGGAGGTAACTTTAAAGAAAGTCTAACAACAAAAACTCAAATACCTCAGAATTAGAGTCAAAATGTCTTCTGATAAGTTACTCTTTACACTGTAGTCATGGTTACTGTGTTGGAAATTATATTTATGAAACTATGATCTTGTTTTTGACAAATCTGATCCTGCTTCCAAACTTTCGGCCTCTAGCGTATCTATATTTTATAGCTTAATATAAAATGTAAAAAATCGGCCGATCAATCGGAAATCTGATTTTTTTTCTCCACTAATAATCGGTAGGACCAAACTCTATTTAAAATGTCAAATCTGAAATTTACAAACATTTGCAGTTTGTTGTTTTCGTTTCAAAGTCCAAACTGAATAATTTGACTCAGAAATAAAATGAAGAATCAATAAAATAAACTGTATTTTTATTATTTGTAACACAATTCAAGAGAGAAACCAAACGTGTCGTTTCTTTGTCATTTGTGTAAATTTATGGTTCATCTTTTCTGGGACATATTCAGAAAATTTAATCTCAAATGTTTTTTCTTTCATATTTAAATGAAGTTACAGAAAAATCAGTTCAGATTATTTATTTTTAACTGTATTTATGAGTCGAGAAGTGAAAATACAAATATGTTTCTGAATTATGACACTAATTTACCTCCATACATCCTTCCTGCCAGCAGAGGGCGCCCTCACCCCGCTCTCGTCGATAATAAAGACCCTTTAGGAGGTTTTAAAGAAACGGTCTCTGAGCAGATCTGAGGGTTCAAAGAGACCCCAAAGTCCAGAAGGACCAAGGAAACCAGGATCTGGACGGGTTTAAGACCGTGATCTGGGTCCAGTCTCAGGGGGGTCCGCTCCAGTCCAGAGTCCAGCTCAGTTTGTCTTCAATAAAAAAAACTTTTTCTCACTTTTGTTGATTTTATTCGTGTTTCATTTAAAGAGTTAGTTTGAGTTTCCTGTTTGTGGCGACTGGAAGGAAAGCCCCGCCCCCTCTGTGCTTTCACTTTCCTCTAAAGTCTCGTTTTCTCAGAATAGAAACCACACACACAGACACACACACAGACACAGACACACACACACAGACACACACACAGGGTCTGTCTCGGGTGGAGTTAGGATGGAGCTGAACCGTCTGCTCGAGTTTCTCTGTAAGGAAACGTTCAGAATTTTCGTCTTTCAGAGTTTTTTTGTTTTTATGTTTTAAAAAAATCTCTCAGGGTTTTTGTCCCTCTGTGGACAAGCCGGTCCTTCGTAGACCATGTCCTCTGTAGACCGTGTCCTCTGTTCAGGTCCTCAGACTCTGATGTCCAAATGTCTCACAGTAACGTTTGTCCGTTTGGTTCCTCTTCAGTTCTCGTCTCTCGGCTCTGCTGCTCCACAAACCAAGGTGAGTCCAGGTCTCCGTTTTTATCGTCAAACTCCGATTGGTTAAACTCGACCGCAGAGACCGTCCTTTAAAATGTCCCTGCTCTGGTTCCTGGTCTGGTTCCTGGGCTGGTTCCTGGTCTGGTTCCTGCTCCCTGCTCTGGTTCCTGCTCTGGTTCCTGTTCTGGTTCCTGCTCTGGTTCCTGCTCCCTGCTCTGGTTCCTGCTCTGGTTCCTGCTCTGGTTCCTGCTCTGGTTCCTGCTCTGGTTCCTGGTCTGGTTCCTGGGCTGGTTCCTGGTCTGGTTCCTGCTCTGGTTCCTGGGCTGGTTCCTGGTCTGGTTCCTGGTCTGGTTCCTGGTCTGGTTCCTGCTCTGGTTCCTGGGCTGGTTCCTGCTCTGGTTCCTGGGCTGGTTCCTGGGCTGGTTCCTGCTCTGGTTCCTGGTCTGGTTCCTGGGCTGGTTCCTGCTCTGGTTCCTGGTCTGGTTCCTGGTCTGGTTCCTGCTCTGGTTCCTGGGCTGGTTCCTGCTCTGGTTCCTGGGCTGGTTCCTGGGCTGGTTCCTGCTCTGGTTCCTGGTCTGGTTCCTACTCTGGTTCCTGGTCTGGTTCCTGGGCTGGTTCCTGCTCTGGTTCCTGGTCTGGTTCCTGGTCTGGTTCCTGCTCTGGTTCCTGTTCTGGTTCCTGCTCTGGTTCCTGGTCCGGTTCCCCTTCTGTCCTTTATTTCATCCTCTCTTTGTCCGTCGAGGTTTTGTCTTTGGCGACTCGTCTTCCTGCCGCCGTGTCAGATCTGAGCGCGCTCAGACTCTCAGGTGGACTGATGACCTTTAACCCCTGGTGTTTGTCCTCAGCCTCCCTGACGGTGACCCCCCACAGCTCTCAGGTCTTCTCCAGGAGGTCTGTGTCTCTGAGGTGTGAGGACGAGGACGGACGTGAAGGATGGACACTCAGGAGGAACACCGACAAAGATACGGGGACGCAGTGTGGAGTCCACTGGGGACGGTCTTCTGGGTCCTGGTGTACCATCAGTCTGACCGTGTCCTGGGACAGTGGACTGTACTGGTGTGAGTCCAGAGACGGGGACACCAGTAACACCGTCAACCTGACTGTGACCGGTGAGAGACGCTGAGACGTTTGTTTCTTCTCTAACATCTGATCATGGAGCTCTAAGGAAGCTGACCCCCCTGGTGGACAAACAGGGGAACTACAGTTTTTAGGACTTGATGAGGAAGTTCTCCTCTCTGTCCCCTGAGGTTGTCGTAAAGATCCGATCTTTTTTTTGTCCAGATAAACCCGTGGTCCTCCAGAGTCCGGTTCTTCCTCTGACGGTTGGAGAAGATCTCACTCTGAGCTGTAGAACCAGGACCCCCAACAAAGACCCCGCTCTGTTTTATAAAGACCACCACCTCATTGGGACTGGACCTGCAGGTCACATGACCATCCCCACAGTCTCCTTGTCTGCTGAAGGTCGGTACCACTGTAAGGTCGAAGGTCATGGAGAGTCTCCGTCCAGCTGGATCTCCGTCAAAGGTCAGAGGGTCACCTTTTCTCCTGGACTTAGTCCAACAGGAACCATCTGACCGTCTGTCTCTCTACAGGTAGACCTCCGACCTCGGCAGCCCCGCCCACCGATACAGCCCCGCCCACCGATACAGCCCCGCCTCCAAACAAAGCCACGCCCACAGATCCAGACCAACATCAGACCACAGTCCTGTTCTCCGTCTGGTCTTGCCTAGACCTGGTCCTCAGAGTCCTGCTCCGCCTGGTGGTCTTCATTCCGTTCTTCATCTGCACCGTCTACATCATGTCCTTATATGGACTCACTCACACGGTAACATTCACTCACTCATCCGTCCGTCACTCTGTTTGTCGTATTTTGACGACTGTTTCGATGTCGTGGTTAATCTTTTGAACTGTCACCACAGGAAGTGCCCGCCCTGTTTCCATGGCGATGCTGCCGCCCACACACACAGACCCCCGGTCAGACTCTGAGGGTTATGTCTGAACTGATGAAGGAGTGAACATGAACACACCGGCGGCGGCGGCGGCGAGCTTTGATCATGTGACCCGTGTGAACTCAGAGGTCTGCTCTCTGAGGGTCTCTGAGGGTCTCTGAGGGTCTCTGAGGGTCTCTGAGGGTCTCTGTTGGACCTCCATCATGACTTCACTAAGGTCGGGGTTTTTCTTCTGCTGGATCTCAGACCAGTTTTTGGACGCTCTGTGCTCCTCAGAGTCCGATCATTCAGAACTCCAGGAGATCCTGGACCTGCTCAGTCTCTGCTGGACTGTAGGACCTCAGAGCAGCAGGGACGGACTCTCTGAGGTGGACTGACCTGAGTCCACCTCAGACCTGATCCTCTGTTTGATTTCTAACCTTCTCTGTTGATACTGAAATAAATCCTCCTTTAAAGCTCCTCTGAGTTTCTCTGAGTCCTGAAGTTCATCAACACAGACCTTCAAAAACCTGCTGGTCCAGGATCAGTCTGGGTTTGGTCTTCTGGGGGTCCTAAAAAACCTGCTGGTCCAGGATCAGTCTGGGTTTGGTCTCCTGGGGGTCCTAAAAAACCTGCTGGTCCAGGATCAGTCTGGGTTTGGTCTTCTGGGGGTCCTAAAAACCTGCTGGTCCAGGATCCGTCTGGGTTTGGTCTCCTGGGGGTCCTAAAAAACCTGCTGGTCCAGGATCAGTCTGGGTTTGGTCTCCTGGGGGTCCTAAAAAACCTGCTGGTCCAGGATCAGTCTGGGTTTGGTCTCCTGGGGG